CGAACTCTTTATTCCTCAGTCATCTCTTTTGGTTGCTGGATAAAAATGAGGTAGCACTAAAAGCATTAAAAGGATGCCACTAAAAATGAACCCCAAATATGTGGACAGCAGGGCAAGCGGCTCAGATTTCAGTTGGGTCCTTGAGAATGGAGAAGCTGACTTTGACCTTGCAGGTCTGAAAGTTCAGTGGCCACTGAAGAATCTTTGCTAAACTCACCTGCTCCTTCTTTAAAAAATGGACTTATCTTGCTCAGGTCACTACGTATTGTCACTGATTTTCAAAGCCTTCCGTACCTGGCGAGCATACAAGTTGAGGAATTCTATAGCAGACATTGCAAACCTCACAAAGAGCATTTTGCTTCATCTGGGAACATACTCTACCAAAGCCTTCCACTTGAACTTCAGACTGTCGAGTTTGCTCTTGGATTAAAAGCCAGCTTCCATAGACACAGACAACGGGATGGTGATGATGAGAGAGAAAGGGGGGTGAGGGAGGTAGAAGAGGGTCAAGGGGAGATAAACGATGATGGGAAGATACTTGACTTGGGGTGGTGAACACACAATACAATATACAGATGATATATTATAGAATTGTACACTTGAAACCTATATCATTTTTATTAACCAATGTCACCCCAATAAATTCAATAAAAATTTTTTTAAAAGTTAGCTCTGTTATCTAGTAAATATTGCAAAAAAGCCCTATTCCCTTCATATAGGCAAGTAAGAATAATAAACCTCATCTACCCCCCAAGGATGCTAATGAACTTGAGAAATTGCCAAATGTATTACTTAGGAAATCTTTGTTTCTTGTTGGTGGGTGGTGGGAGGGAGGTGGGAGGGGACGGAGGGGAGAGAAGGGGAAAGGCCCTCCGGAGCTCATTTCGTTGCTGCCTTCTCCACCCGTACATCCTAACAGCACTCACATTCGGAGCTGTATGAGGTTTTGTTTGTTTTCAAGAGATGTTTGAAAGAAGATCAAATGCCTGTGAAAGGCACTGGATCGGCAGCCCTAGGAACTGAAATGTCCCGGAAGCGCTGTGAGCCCGGAAATATCCCACATTTCTATTTGTTTTGGCAACTTAACTTAAAACTAGTAAGAGCTGGAGTTCATGCTACAATTACACTTTCTTAAGGCACCATGAAATGAAAACACATATTACATTTGATTTTAACTGGTTGAGAAAAAATGGTGGTTTTCTGAAAATGCATTCTATGACCTAAAAATAAAAGTTAAGGTTCCTCACAGGGGCCGGCTGAGATTCCTTTTGAAATTCTAATTATTTGTGGAACTGAGGTTCTGCAGTTGGAAGGGGTCTCAGGTCACTGAGTTCTCTTTTCCCATCGTGTGCTCCAAGCCATGTCACTGAGAAATGTTGGCAGCGTGGACATGAAGTTTTGGGTGATATGAGACCTGCTTCCGCTTGATGAGACCTATTCCTCTTTCAGATGGCTCTAATTTTTAGAACTAAAATACTAACAAAAACTTCAGTAGTGCTTACTATGTACCACACACCAATTTATTCACTATAATATGTATTTGTACACACACACTCTCTTTCTCTCAACTGTAAGTAGATTCGATTAGATACATTCAATTAAGTAGATTACTATTAAGAGATAAGGACACAAGTAAGTTACATCCTTTGCCCAAGGCCAACCCCCGGTAAGCGAGTTAGGATGTGAACCTAGGCAGTCTGAGTCTAGATTCTGTACTCTCAGCCCACTAGGTTCCACTGCCCCTCCAATCTTTATACTTCTCCCTCGTGCCCTATACAGAGGTTTGCACATTGTAGGTGCTCAATAAAATGATTTTCAACAATTTTGTTTCAGGATGCTGATTCTTTACATATTCCCTTAAGTTTTACACACAATCATCAATTTGCCTTAAGAGAACCAGTTGAAAGAGTAGAATTTTAAATGATGACTAGTACTCTGCCTACTTCAAGGAAGTATTGTGGGGACTAATAGGTACATAACATTCACAATAAAGTACGTTTGATTTTAAAGGGGGCAGATGCTGCCTTTAGCAGTAGGTCCTTGAATGATTTCAATGAGGCTAGAGAAGGAAATTCTAAACATGCAGGACTATGTAAGCACAACTCCTTTGCTGTCTCTTTTTTTACACTGTTCTAGCCTCACTATCCTATACGAGGATGAGAGGAATCATGTCATCTCAGCAGTGCTATATGTATTTTTATATCTGTCTTTCTACCACTATTCATCTGCCTATATCACTCATTCATTCATCCATCCATCCATCCATCCAGCCAGCCAGCCAGCCAGCCAGCCATCCATCCAGCATTATATGCCATGTATTCCTAGGTGCTTAGCACTGATACTGGCAAAGGGAAGATGGAAAGACAATGATAGTTTCTTCCTGTTCACTTGGTTCATATTATTCAGAAATTGCATGTAGCCATTCAAGATAATTGCTTTAGAGTTGATAAAAACCCATTCTAAAAAGAAGTGGGTTCTAATCCATAATCTGGGAGTTAGACATTCTTTAACTAAAAAGTTCTATTGCCTTTTTTTTTTTTTTTCAATGTTGTTGTCTTACTTCTTCTTGAATGCAGTTCATCAGTGGGTATGATTATAATTTATCCAAAGCCTTGATTTGTAACTGACATTTATGTAGTCATCAATGAAAGAAGGAAGAGATACTTCTCTAAGGAACTTTTTCATAGGACATGAGCTGTTCATTCTTCTGCTTGACTGTTGTCCCTTGAAGAGCCATCTGTGTTTGCTGGCTACTCTCAGGTGGTAGTCACAGTAAGTATTGACCTGTGCCTGAGGCTGGCCTAGAGCATGATGTTTAGTAGGAGAACTCAGCATGTCCTGAGTGAGATGGCTTGCCGGATGGACTCAGGCCCCAGGCTGGCTTCCATCTGCTCTCATAATCCAGGATCCACTTTGCAACCACAGCAGCTGTGACTTGGCTCCTATCTGTGGCTTCGACATGCTTCCTATTGGAACTTTTTCTCCTAGATTGAGCCTTGAGCATGTCCATATGTTATATAGCCTGGGTTCTCAGTGAACCATGGAGGAAGGATGACCCTGAAGTAGAAAGCATGGCATGGACATGAAGGCCCAGACAGAAAAAAAGGTTTTTTGATGCCGTGACATCATCAAAGTCGGGTGAAATGCTTTGCTTCTCAGGTTAGTCATCTTCTTACCCAAAGGGTGATCATTTGCTTGGCTGGCACTTACCCTCTCTCAGCTCTTATAACTAATAATTTGGATGATGTTGAAACTTTTTACTTTATTATGTGAAGACCCTCAATCCTACTGTTTAAGTCAAGGAAAGGGAAGGAGAAGATTTCTAAGGCCTACGTTCTGTGAGTTTACTTAGCTCTTCTTTCCCCTCAGGGAAATCCAGCACCCCTGCTACCATTTACTCCCTTACTTCTGGTAGAGACAATATAGAATCAGTGGGAGACGTCATGTGGCCCCTTCTGCCTCCTCTTTTTCTTTTGGAATTTTCATTAGTCTGCCTTGATTATGTGCTACTTTCTGCTGGCTAGGAGGGCAGCTTAGGACCCAGGGATCTCAGTATCCTTATCTTTAAAATGAAGCGATCGAACCAAGTGATTTGAGACCTTTTGCAGCTCATAACATGGTCCTAGTATTTCCACGGAGCAGAAACTCCTAGGATTTCACATCTAACAATCCAGGGGTATGTGTGTGTGTGTGTGTGTGTGTGTGTGTGTGTGTGTACACACACACATGCATGTGCACATTTGGGAGAGAAAGAAAGAAACAGAGCAAGAAAGAGTTTTCTAGAAGGTAGAATCAGAAGGCCGTAGGCACACATCAGAAGTCTACTATTGTGGGCTGGATTGTGCCACCTACATGTTGAAGTCCCAACATTCGAGTACCTCAAACTGTGACTGCATCTGGGGTCATCATGCAGGTAATTAAATTAAAATGAGGTAATTATGCTGGGTCCTGATCCAATACGACCAGTGTTCTTAGAAGAGGAGGAAATCTGGGAATGAAGCTGTGCGTAGAGAGAAGATGATGTGGAGACACATGGAGAAGAAGGCCAATTATAAGCCACAGAAAAAGACTTGGCACAGGTCCTTCCCTAATATTTTTCAGAAGGAACCAACCCTGCCAACACCTTGACCTTGGACTTTCAGCCCCCAGAAGTATGTGAAAATAAATTTCTGTTGTTTAAGCCACCCCATCTGTGGCATTTTGTTATGGCAATCCTCCACACTAATACATCTCTTATTTCTAATTCCAAAGTGGAGAGGAAAGAAAAGGTTCAGTGACGTCCTCTCATAGGTCACCTCACAGGCCTCGGGACCTTTAGGCAAGTCCTGGTGCCCTTTGGCCCAAACCTGGACTTGACTAAGAAATGCAGCCTCCAAGGACTTTGCAGGAAAGGAGATCCGGGGACTCCTAGGACACACTTCAGTCTTGCGGAGAATTTGGGACTGGTATTTAACTCGAGACATATAGTGACATGAGCAATTCTTCTATAATCGATTCACACAAAATTTTAAAATGCATATAAAAGCCTTGATTTTTTAAAATCTTAATTCTTTTATTTAGTTGGGGTTTGTTTTTATTTGTTTGCAAGGGAGGAAGCTGTGGCTTATTTGCCTCTTTTATGGTTTTTGCTCTTTTTTCTCATTCTCAAGGTCTGTCTTTGGACTTTCTTGGGGATTATATGCTCCAGTTCCGTTTCCTCCGCGTGTAATAGCCACATCCTACAGCGGTTCCTTCTCTTCCTTCCGTCCCGGGCGTTATCTAGCTCCACTAGGCTACCGTCCGTCGCGTCCTCTACAGCATTGCCCACTGTTCATTAGCGCTGTCTGCTTCTCTCTCCTCGTCCTCGCCTCTCTCTGCTTCTCTCCTCCATCCTCCTCTTTGCTTCTGCGTTCAGTGTCTAGCTCCAGTCTCCCTCCTCTGCTCTTTCTTCTTTCCTTTCATCTGCTGACTTGCTTCCGTCCCCTCCTTCTGTTCCCCTCCTGGGCGTGTCTTTGGCCCACCTTTCCTTCTCCTCTGAGACTTCGTTTTCTTGTTGGTAGATGGGGGCTGATACTGTAAACATCACAAAAATAATTGCATTGAGAACAGGCGGCTCTGCGGTGTCCCGAGGACAGAGCCTTTGCGTTAGCCCAGCATGCCCGGGCTCCACTGGATGCGGAGGCAGCACTGTGCTGGCCAGGCGTCGCCCTCAGCCACACGACCCAGCACTCCAGAACTTTGGGACTCATCTCTGACCCCCACCCTCTCCCCAGCTAGAAATGGAGAGGCACTGGTCACCTGGGGAGAAAAAGAGTTAACCTGCCTTCACCATCCCCAGCACAACTTTCCTGTCTCATTCACCTGAAGGTGACCTCCGTTGCTTGCCCCCTGACCATTGGCTGCTGTGTTCTCCGGACACCAGGTTGTGCCCGGTCCCTTTCCACCTCTCAAGGTGGCTCCCTGGGGTCACATCTCTGTTCAGACCCCCTGGTCCTCCTCCCCGCTCAGCTGCCATTTAAGACCAGGAGACAGCAAATGTGTCACTGTAAACATCTTGGTCTCTCATCTTGGGAGAGATGCTAGTTTTGGCTCCTAAGATTAAAACCACAGGTGGTGGTTTTTTGGTTTTGTTTGATTTTTTTTTTCTTTAGTCAACAGAGTCCCCAAGGAGACACTTTCCTTAGTCAACCTTCCTCACTTTGTTTTTCCTCCTTCACCTTCTCTTTAGTTCTCATTTTTTCTACCTCATGAGTAAAATTTTAGTTAATTATATTCATTTGGTCACTCATTCATTCACTCATTCAACAGGAATGGATCAGGTGACGGACATGCTTCAGATGGTGTACGTACTTTTGATGGCAGAGACAGTACCTCTAAGGTTTGTTTAAAATCTAGCTTTGACAAAAAGACACCTGCAAATTTCAATCATTACGAATTTCTAGGTATTCTTTGAGCCAAACGGAAATTTCTATTTTTAATGTTTTTTTCTTTAATTATGTTTGCCACTGAATGTGAATTTCAAATAGTTCCCATTTTAGACTATTTTCTTTTCGCACCTTTGCAGAACACCGGGACTTGGAAGTTTCCAGGCTTTGTTCTTAATTACAATTGTGACAGACGTTAAAACTTGTCCAGCAGTTGCTTGTGCAGACACATGGAAAGCATACTATGTGCATTGACTTGATTCCTACAGGGACCCGATGAGGTAGCTCTTACCATGATCCCAATTTCGTGGAGGAAAGGCAGGCTCGCATAGGCTACAGCCTTTCGCTAGGGCGATCAGCTGGTGATGGTGAAGCAAGGACTTCACTTTTGTCTGATCCCAAAGCCCATGTTTAGTTACTGTTCTCCACCACCATCTGGCCAGCAGATTGTCTAGCGCAGGGCGCGAGAGAACCTGCCACGCAGAGCGGCCAAAGGCATGGCAGCTAGGGCGAGGGTGGATCTATCTGGACCCGGAAGCCAGGAGGCGATGGGGACACGATTACTCTTTGGCCCACCCACCCAGAGAAGACACAGACCCCCTGGGGTGGCCGGATCCGCCCCGCCGCTTACCTTCTGAGCCTTGGGCATGTCGGTGTGGCGCTGGGCACGGACGGAGCGGGCCGACTTGGCGGGCTTCAGGGGCGCGCAGTACATCTCCAGCCTCCTCAGGTCGCAGCTGCGGAAGCAGCACTCGTCCACGATGCCTGTCTGGGGCGCCCTCCGACTGCTGGAACCGTACCCCGTGGGCTTGTCTGTGCAAAGGGAATGCAGGGCGGCCTGGCTTTAGAGTGGACGATTCCATCTTCACAGCGCCCCAGCCGCGGAGGACCCTCCCCTCCCCACACCGGGCCCGCCCGCACATTCCTATGGCAACCTCTCTGAAACTTCAACAACTTTTGTCCCCATAAATCCTTCTGGATTCCGGTATGTCTCTGGAATCTGTATCACACTCATTAGCACTCACTCATTCACGACACACTTCGGGTTAATTCTCCTGAAGTTCCCAGCAACCTTTAGTCAAGACTCTTGGATATGCCCATTCCTAGACTTTCCTCGTGTATTGGCTTAGTTGAGAGGCTGCTAGGGATATTACTGAAAAGATCATGTGTTCAGTTGCCTTCATTTCTTAGCTTATCTGCATAGTTTTTCTGTAGAGGATGGCTCGAATATGTGTTCTTTTGCTTAGCTGCTTTTGCTGTAAATTTAGCGTGAGCATCGGTGGAGTTCTGAATCTAGGAAGGACTCCAACTTTCCTGACGTGGAGACTGAGACGCGGAGTTGGAAATGACTTGCTTACGGTCATTATGCAGTAAATGGTAGAATCAAGATGTAAACTCAGGTCTTCTCTCTGCAAGGCCCAGGTGCCTCACAGAGCTCGGGAGACCTGTTGTACAACTCTGGACAAGTCAGTGATGCTTCCTGGGCCTCTGTTTACTCGCTTGTAAAATGGGGCTAATGATCTCTTTCTTGTAAGGATTGTTTGAGGATTACATGGGATAATGTATGGAAAGTACTTAGAGTATCCCCAGACACATAGTAGGTCCTAAATAAATATTGGTTTGCTTCCTCTGAGCACCCCTCCCAGGATCTGATACGGTTTGTGAAGAAGCAGTGTTACTGCTGTACATACAGAGACCTTGGAACTTGCACTGTGGACAATACTGATGTGATAGGACTCCCTCTCCTATCACCCCGGAGAGACCACAACAATCAATCCTGTTTTCTTATAGAGTAATTGTTAGACCGAGACAGAATGAACTAAATGTCCACCTTTCCTGAAACTTGGATTGCCCATAGGGAACAGCATGAGTCAAATGTCTCTTGATATTTGCAAATCAATTAGACCTTTTTACTTGGCAAGTAGGTTTTGGTTTAGTTTCATTTTTTTTGTTGTTGTTTGTTTTGTTTTGCTTTGAACACACTTTTCCTGGCTCCAGAATTAAAAGAAAGGGCAAAACAAGCTTACGTGGGCCTTAAAATGTACATGAATTCTTTGTAAGTTTTTTGTGAAAGCAAATCTTGCTTAATCACCAATATATAAAACAGACAAAGTAAAACTGCCCTGACTCAGGCAAGGGCAGGGGGACCAGGGCTCAGCTTTCTCTCCTGTCCCTTAACTCCCTTGGATGGGGCCTGGGTTTTCTCCACTCACATTCAGACGTCATGGAAGAAAATTTGTAAACCATTGATCCAGAAGAAGCCAATTAATCAATCTGACATACACTCGATCTTAATTCCTGACACAGAAGACAGCATTATATTTTAAATTTTAAAAAGTCTTATCGTTTGCATAATAATGACACCATTCTTTAGGATGAGGTTTTGAAAGTCAAAATCCCCAGTGTATATTTTAATCTTCCTGGCTGGGGGGATGAGACTCAGAGTCATGGCCACCACTAAACTAGGCTGGCAGCCTGGCTGCTAGAAGGGCCAACCATTCCTGGCACCCTCTAAGAACTCCAATGGTTTTCTGGTGCTGGGCACAGGAGTCTGGGGATGCTTCGTCCCCTTAAGGCAGGGCTGCGGTCATTCTTAGGGCAGCAGGCGTAGTGACTCAGTGAGGGTTCACTTTGTGCTCTCTCTGTGCGGGGTCTGCTGCTTTCCTTCCCTGGGGGCAAACCCTGCGGGCTCCTCATGATGGAGGACCAGGCAGTGGGTCCCAGCTGAACCCCCGCGGAACTTTCACTTGCCATTGGAAGATCAGCTAGTGCAGAGGACTCGCTCGGTTATAAAAGAGCTGAGTTTTCTTAGTCCATAGATCAGTGAATTCAGAATCAGAGAAATTTAGGACTTTTCTGTCATGTTGTACAAAGAAAGGTTACTTTATGTCCATATATTTTAAAACATTGTCGAAATAGTGGTATAAAGACTTGGATTTCGCCATAAATATAACTATCAGTTATCCTACCACAATCCCAGAAAGATGTCATTCTTTGTCTATTCATAATGTCTACAATGGACTAATTGTATTTCACTGGGGATATAGGAATATAACAGTGTTTACCTATTGCCTTCTAAAGTTTAGTCCTTTGGAGTGTCCTATAGGCTTGGTTTCTGATTCTACATCAGGATATTTCACACAAAAATCATTTCTCACCAATTAAGAGGCCACACTTGAAGGTCAAAGTCTTTCTCTTTATCTTTGAATGACTCACATTACTTCTTTTTCCACAACCAAAATAAAGACACTTGTTGCTACGGGCTAGCACTAGAAACCAAATACAGTGTGGTTTACTAGAAAGGCAGCAACATAATTTGCTCCAGTATTAATTTTGAAAAAAAAATAAGGATTTTTAATGACCTCTAAATTGCAGCTATGGTCATTATGAGTAATTTTTAAATGCACTAGAGTGAACTGATTCATCCTTTTCTTCAAAATCTCCCTATCAGCCACTATGCAATTCTGCTCCAGCAGGTGGGATCGGAACTTGGTGGGTGAACAGGAAACACGTATTGGCGCTATATATATATATATATATATATATATATATATATATATATACACACATATATAAATCCTAACAATTTGAACTCAAAGGTTTAAAAATGGGACAGATTTCTTTTAAAAATAATGAATTTCCCACTGAAAGCGATTATGTGAAGGTTGTCTGGACACCTGTGAGAGATCCTGGGACCATATTCCTGTATTGAACACAGTACATGGCAGCTATGGTCCTTTTGAGTCTAAGGAATCTGGAACAATGGAAGAAATGCTGAAGAAAACCCACCCAGGCCAAACATTCAATATGGTTGGAAGTCACTTACATGGCCTTCAGGAAAGAGGTTGGATTCTTTTCTAAATTAGAAAGTGAACATCTGTTTTCTATTTATCATTTGAGCTCCCCAAGATGCTGAAAACATTGTTGCTTACTTGATGCTAAAACAAAAGACAGGTGACTGGGCTAGTCCCTTCTACGACCAGGTACAGTCCCAGAGTCGTACCAGTGCCATGAATGTTACACCCACTCGGCCATTAGAGTGAAACGGCATTTATACAATTTAACAGAACATTCCTTGTTGACAAAGTCTTGACATTCAAAATTTACTATTTCTATATTTATTTTGTCAGTAATTTTTCTCCAGAGCCTGCAAACCAAAGGCTGCTCTGCAGACCGGTTGGCCACCACCTAACCTAGGCCTTGACCCCTCCGTGAGGAGGAGCATGTGCACTGACAGAATTCCAATGGTCAAACAGCTGACTTCTAGAATAATAGCACTTCCCTTTAAATAATGCATGATCAGTGGAGTAATTCAATAATCTTCAGGGCAAACTTGCTAGTTACAAGAGTTTTGGGCGGAATTGTGGCATCATCAAAACCACACCAATTAGCTGAGTCTCACATTTTGTCCGGGATGCAAGCTACTCACTTTCCTCCACCCCCAAAGGAGAGGGTGTAATGCTGAGGGCTCACTGGGGTCATCGCTTGGAGAGCAGAGAACTCTGCCATTCATCACTGGGAAACACGGTGCTACCTCCCCGGGGCCTGCATATGGTTGTGTTTCCTACAGGTCTCTGGGAATGCAGCTGGCTCATTGGGCTCAACTTTAATTTCTTCTGAAATTCCTCTCTTGTTTCCTGAGAAGGCTTTAATTATTTTAATTTTACCACGAAAAAGAGGAGACGCTGATGTGAAGAATCAGTATTTAAATAATGAAAAATGCAAACATTTTTCCAGATAGGGAAAAATACGCAGTTCTGAAGACATTTACTTGTCACTCCTTGGGTTCCGAGGCATACACCTATTCTTAGAAATTGCTAACAAAGGGAGGTCCTAAATTCGATTGTATTTTGAAAGCAGGAAAAAAAGAAGGGAGATGATTCAAGTTGGATTTCAAGGGTTATTTTTAGAACCTTCACAGTGGTTTCTTATGGAAAATACCAATGGGATTATTAACTTACAAAAACTAATTTGCATTTAACTTTGATTAACTGAGGCTTGATTACACAATCAAATATTACAGTTAAAATCTAGGGCAGGCAGAAAGTCAGGTTTCCTGCGGCAACTAGTTATCCGTAACCTCCAGACATGATGACCACTTAGAATAACCCAGTGTGGGTAGTTTCTCACATTGTTCCATGGACTACCGTATCTAACAAAAACTCACTCAGTTGGCATAATTTTGCGTGGGAGAGTGGTAGGTAAATTGGGTAAAATGTGAGCAGTTTTAAAGTTGTCTCTATTTTAGCATTTCAATTGTGCCTTTCTTTTCCGAAAAAATGAGAATCACTTCTCAGTATTTCTTGCACATTTTGTGGCTTTCTATGGAAAACGAGACTCCTTTCGTGAATTCCTAATACAAAGAAAATTGTGATGAGACTATTATCCAGACCCGAAATATAATATATCTTGAATGGTTATTATTTTCTGAATTAATATGATTCACATTTACTTAAGGCCTTTTGATAAGTTCATAGTTTACCTTTTAAATATTCTATGGAAATCACACTTGAATTAAAACAGATGCTTAGTAAAGATACGAAAAAGAGTTTCACATCCTTATGCACTTAGATTAACATGGGTGTGTGCACACATAGTTAAACATATATCAGGAATGAAGTGACTTACCATTAGCATCAAAGTTCCTGCCAAACCCTTTGAAATTAGAATTGTGTTTGAAGAAGTTTTTCTAAGATATATACATATTGCCTGCCTTATTCGGGGCTAGCGGACTCTGCACATTTCTGCTTTGTTGCAGAAAGGTTTTTCCAGGAAAGATTGACCTTTGGCATCTGTAAAAGTGAGCACAGAAA